AAGATGCATATAAAACTTTGCCAATCTGCCTCTAGCTTTGCTAATTGTTTGGTTTTTTTCCCTCTCAAAGTGGTATCTTGCGTTCAGTCATGTGTGAGCATTAGGAGCCCAGGCTCCTTGGGGCACTCCTGCATCACAGCTCCTCTATTTCTGACCCACCTTTCTTTTCAAGCCCCATCAGCCTTTCTCCTTTCTCCACTACAGCAGCTTCCTGGGATGGGGTCATTTGCTCCGGCTCTGGTCTGCTTCTGGCTGATAAACAGAAGTAGCTAAGCCTGAGAGAAGAGAGGAATGAAGGCAGTAATAACTACAAACCTTCTTTTCTTGCTTTTAGCCCTTTTGTATGAATTAGGGGTAGAGAGAATGCAGTATGGTGTTTCACAAGAGTAAGCAGATTTAGCTGAAGGTTGTTTTTGTGTTGTTGTTTTTTTCTTGTGCTAAGCCTCTCTGCTTCCTATCTGTGCCTCTGTACCTAAAGCTGTGGTTTAGAAAAGACAAGATCCTGAGACATTAAGTCAACAAGTCGAGATGGCAGGATCCATAATTTTATTTATTTTTTTTATTGAGATGCAGTTACATTCTGGGAGCATGTTCTGGTGCAGATGGGGGGCAAAGGCGGACAGATTTAGGGAGCATCAGGGCCTGCTGACAAAGAATGGAGGCACATCCACTCGTGATACTTGGCCTAAAGTCTTTCCTTAATCAAAGCTTAAATTTTTATGTTGGTGTTTTAAGATTCACGAGACAACGTCTTAAACATTTCGCTGTTGTTTTGTACCAACACTGAAGTTTTGCAACAAATCTGCTTCAGATTAGGGTTTTGAAACCTGTTTAATTTGTTTAGCTTTTTAATGTCTCCATGTAAGAGAATGCAAATTGGCGATTACAGTCCAGCAGGGAAATTATCAGGTATTTCAACAAAGACAGAGGTTTAAAACACTTGTATGTTCAGGACATGTTTGTAACTAGAACAAAATAGAGTTCACAGATCTAAGCTTCTTGGTTTTTGCTTTCATTGTCCTGGCTAAGATTCACAAAAAGACACCAGGATAGCAGAGAGTGTTTTCATTTTTCTGCAGCCTGAGCCGGCTGCCAGCTGAATACAGAGCTTGCTGTGTGTTAGAAGGGATTTTCATTTTATTTTTTTTTGGTGTCACTTCTCAAATAAGCGTGACATCTTCTCACCCTCAGCTGCCGTTTGTCCCACTGTGACCCAACAAGTATATTGATATCAACAACCATTAATCTCGGGTGGCAGAGCAGCTCTCTTCCATAGCATCTCCCTCAAACTCAAAGAGATTTTTTTTTATTAAAAAAAAAAAAGTACTGCTAGTACAAACTTCTGAAAATAAACTGAGCTTGGCATAGGAATTACTGATGAATGAAGTTCCTTTTTTTAAGGGAGTGAACACTTGAAGTCTGTTTTCATTTTAATGGAAACATTTATTTTTTTTTTCTGTCAGCCTGCCAATTCAAAATAAGGTTGGCAAAACAAGCCTAAAAATAGTGAAGGTGTAGTACAGCTACAATATTGTGAAAGCAGTGAGTGAGCTAAAGCTAAATGTCATATTATAGCCCTAGGTGAGCATTTTATATATGTCTAAAAATAAATACATGAATAATAAAATACAAACAAAAAGCTCAGTGGTCTGTTCGACATTATTAGATAACTAGGTATTTCAGGTAAATCCAGATCTAAATATTAGCTGTGGCAAGGAGTGTCTTTAACTTTTAAAAATCTCTTTTTCTGGCTTTAAATTCTTAAAAACCCCAATCTTCCTGGTGATTGAACAAGGAACGCATATCAGGAAGATAAGCAGAAATATCTAGCTGAATTTCTACCATGAGGCTTCAAAATTAGGTACTTTTAAAACTAATTGAGAAGATTATTTTACTTCAGAAAACTGACTAAATCTAAGATCCTGAAAGCTTGTAGCACTGAATGTTTAAGATATTTGTTCAGTACTTTTAGTAAATACAGTAAAATATTATATATTTTGAGACACTTCCATAGCTTGTGGCTGCTCACCTCCTTCTTTTACATCATGCAGAATGTGAAGTTTAGCTTTCAGGGTTTTAATAAAGAATACTGTCTTTATTCTTTAGGGCTGAAAAGAATTAGATTCTTGTTTCTCTAGGTTTTAAAATCTTTTTTTTTTTTTTAAAGTGGCCGGGGAAGATAGAGCTTGTAGGACAGGTAGGGCTCATCCATGTGAACTCTAGATCAACGACGCTTTCAGTCATTGCTTGTCGATTCCATTTTTTCAATGTGGCAGAAGAAAACTTTACTACCTGAGGTCTCTCAAGCTTGCAGCTAACAAAACTTACTAATTATTTACTTTTAGTTTAGGACAAAAGTTTTTAGGCTACATTGTTGTGTGGGAGGGTTTCCGTCATTTAGGAATGTGGACTCCATACGGAAAATACCAAAGTCTGCAAGTCAAAAGATCTGAAATCTGTTACCGTAGATTTTTAAAGGTCTATCTTCTTCCCCAGGCTGCTCTGAAGCTTAGAGCCAGCGGACTGTGGGAGAGCTCAGTGTAGTCACTGAAGGCAAACTGGGAGAACACACTGTGAGCGGGGGGTAGCTGGGGTGTGCTGTGCAGTGGGACTTCTAGGAGATGATAAGAAAATGTGAATTTATTTTCTGACCAGGAAAGGTCCCTGTATCTTGCAGTGACAATTTAAGTCTTACACTATCCTCTGCAGTCAGTACAGTAAATACAAGTCATTTTGCAGAGGAGAATACTTTATTTGAGGTTTCAGGACCAGTTAGGAACAACGAAGAGGAGGCTGACATGTACAACGGAAGCTGAACTTTTAACCTTTTGGAATGAGCAATCTCCATAAATTGCTGTACTCAGATAAGGCAGTAGCTGCCTAACTTCTTCAGCTAATTCTCTATATTGCTTCTATAGACTGGGGGAAATAAAGAATCCCTATTTATTACTGCTCTATCTCTAGTGACTTCTGTTTACTGACATAGTTTCCAATAAACTCAATTAGCAGGTGGTAGGCTAAGATGAGTATTAATAAGATTGAGTGTTGAAACTCTCAGAAATTAAAGGAGTCTGTTTTGGGAGATTGCTGACGCAGTGCATGGCTATAAGTATATTAAAAATCTTCTCAAATTGAAACTTTTGAATTTCTATACGCTCAAGGTGGTCTTTAATTAATTCTTTAGAAAATTCTTTTTCCCTAAGTATGTACATATGTTTTCTTTTCCTGGGGAAATGATGAAAGTTGGATTTAAGATGAGATTCAGACCTGAAGCCAAGTATGTTTCCAGGTTCTGGATACTTAGTAAACTAAACCAGAACTTGGAGGCAGATTTTTTTTTTTATTTATTTTTTTTTTTAATCCTGTCTTAAGCCTGCAGCAAAGTTGGTAAAGGGAAGCTGAAAGCCTCACAGCTTTCATTGCCTAACAACTGCGTGTTGAAAGAGATCCAGTTCTGGGAATCTCTATAATCTTGACGTAATCTTACAATTTTGTCTTTGAAGGATGCTTCTGATGGGGAAGGAAACTTGGCTGTGAGATCACTGAGAGTTTTTGTTCTGTTGGTTTTGGGGTTTTTTTGTGTCCAAGGTGGTGAAAAGTAAATACCAGAAGTTCCTAGCGCTGTTTCGCGTGCAGTTGGCATTGACCTTGGCTGTCTTCTAAAAATTTGCCTCTGCTAGTGCTGAGAAGCTGTGCTTCATCTCTCACTTGCCTCGGGACACCATTTCAAGTATTATTAAATAACAGTAGTGGTCAGGAAAAATAGCATAAAAAGCTTTTTTTGAGTGAGACAAGTTTTCATCTGAAGTCTAAGTTCTATACAGTTGTATACACATCATAAAACTCACACCCCAGTACTTTACTCAGTGAAGGCTCTGATTAAATCCTTATTCGCATTGTAGATGAACACAAACCAGTTCAACCTTTTTTTAAAGTTGAAAATGACTGTGTACCTTTGTTGCTGTACTATTTGGGCTATGTGATAGAATCAGGTGAAGAAGAATCAAATTGCTTTCTTCCAGAAGTGGAGGGGAAGCAACCAGCCAAGCTGCTTAATTTCCTTGGACTAGCTCCTTCCAGCTGAGCCTCTAGCCTCTGCAGCTTGTGTTCTGCCTCTTCTGAGTAATTTTCTTCAAGAGAGGCATCTCTTACAGATGTTTCTCTTGTCTTTATTCTAGCCAGTTCCTGAGGCAGGAAACGGGGCCAGATATATGTCTCTCTTCTCCTGGGGAAAACTTTGGTGGTTTAACTGACCAGAAAAACTGCGTATTCCTGATCTGTACATCTTTAGAAGTAGTTTATAAAGACATTTGTGGTAATCACAGTGGAAAAGGCTTGCATTAATCTGAGGTTAATGAACTTTTATGAGCATCTCATCAGTTGTACACCGAGGAATAATCTTCTAGTGCAAAAGAACTTTTATTGATAATACCTATGTCATCCATTTGTACTTGAGCTGGTTTTCTGGCTTAATTCAGCAGTCTGCTTGACATATCATTACTTTGATGACATTTTGCTGTATAAAAACTGGTTTAAAAGATCCAACTTTACTTTTGAGTAGCAGATACAGTCAGGGTTTTCTCTGAGATTTTGGAATTCCTTTGTTTCTTGCCACAGATGAAAACCAGCACTGCTGAGGCAGAAGAGGAGCTGTCAGATATGAAATAAAGCCAACTTGCAGTAGCAAATTTAGGAGTTTCAGGATCCGTAGATAGCTGAAGATACGTCTGTAACTCAGTCAAAGCAAAACTCTTGAGTGGTCTGAGATTGAGAGATCTCTGCATACGGGGGTGCTAAAATGCATTGCATAAATACCTCGTGCATTACAAATACCAAGGTGACTCAGCAAACGTTTTCTGAAAAGTATTTCTGAAAGAGGTAGCTTCACTGATGTTCTGGTGTTTTAGATCTAGTAAGATAATTGTTAACAAAATATTTATTTCCTAATTTCATTCAGTGTTGAATTCTATTGCTAATATCTGTGCTTTTAATTATTTTAGGAAATCTATCAGTGGTGCGGCTCATCGTGCAATAAATACGAGCGGCTGAAGGCTACTCAAGTTGCTGTTGGCATTCGGGACAATGAACGAAATGGAAGGTCTAAATTAATCACTGTGGAAGAAGGAAGTGAACCAGACCAGCTCATAGAGGTATTGTGATGTGTGTGCCACTTACTGCAATAGCTGTGAATAAAATGCATTTACACCTCAGCAACTAGATGGGATTGGACTCAAACTTTATGTTTTTCAAGGACTCCAGGAACTCAGATTTAGGTTATGGTAGGTCTTTTCCCTCCTTATCCAAGCAGTATTAAATTTATTGGGAAGTAAAGTCTGAGATAATAAATCATCTGAGAATACTCTTTTAAGAAGTAAGTCTCTGCTTTTTTGCATTAACTACAGAGTGACTGAATTAACAGGAGAACTTATACCTGAGCCATGCTATGTGCTGCTTTGTGTGAGGAAAGAGCAGCATACAGGTGGGACAGCAAACCAAAGAGGAAGGACATAGAATTACTCCGTCTAGGATGTCAATAAATGTAGCAAATTGCATGAAGGTGCATGGGGCTAAGCATGCTCCTTTGCATCACCTCTTCTACTACGAACTTATGCACCTACCCTCTAGTAACCCTAGGGAGCTCCTTACTCATATGTTTAGAAACTGTCAAAAAAGAGTGGGAAAAAAAAAAACACCCCAATTCCCAAGTTATGGAATTTTCTGATCCTAATAAAATTATTAAGCACTGAGTTGTTGGAGGCCACATACTAATAAAAACAAGGTCACTTGACATTTGCCTGCTAAATTAAGCTTTTTCTGTTCATTCTCTAAAGAGAAGGAAGAGGGAAGCAGGGTTATACATTGAAAATGTACCACTAGAATATTAACTTGTACTTCAGATTAACTTCAGGAAGTAATGCTAATGGTGCGTGCAGGTATGCCATTATTTCTGATGGTGCTTACGTTTGGTTTTGTCACATGCTGTGTAACTAGTTACTGCCCGAGCAGCAAAGCAGGCAGGTACTGGGCTACTGGCCCTTGCCGTGCTACCTCTGGTGATGGATTTGTATGTGCTGTCATCTGCTTGCAAAGACCTTTTGCCCATGGGTCTGAGCGCAGATGTGGGTGTGCTCAGGAGTAGGGGAGGTGGCACCCAGTGCCCTGGCAACTTTTGAAGTAAAAAAATACCCAGTCCTCTCTCTGGGTTTTTACCTCCTTGTACAGACTTCTCTACCAGCTAAAAAATAATCATAGGATTACTTTGTCTTAGGTTGGAAGGGGCCTTAGAGATCATCTAATCCAACCTCCTAGCCATGGGCAGGGATGCTCTTAACCAGCCCAGGTTGCTCAAGGCTTCATCCAACCTGGCCTTGAGCATCTCCAGGGAGGGGGCAGCCACACACTGGACAATTTATTCCAGTCTGGACACACTTGCACTGAAGAATTTCTTCCTAAGATTCAACCTAAACCTCTTCTCCTTCAACTCAGACCCATTTCCCCTTGTCCTGTCACTGGACACTCATTAAAAGTCCCTCCCCAGCCTCCCGGTAGGTCCCTTCAGGTGCT